ATTTTTAACAAAGAATAGCTCATTTTGTTCAGCTCTATTAGTTTTATGGTAGGTTAATTTTCGAAAATACATATCTAATACTTTTTTCATTTTATTTTTCTGGAATTTTTTTTGGGAACGAGTGAACAAACGAATTTTTGCTTGAAACTATTATAAGCTCTGCTTAATTTTCCACATAAAAGTTAAATATTTTTTTTATTAGAATATATTTAATGATATATTTAAAAGTAATATATAAAATTATTTATAAACAAAAAAAATATGAATATTATTCACAATCTTTGCATATAAAAAAAGGATTATTGCAACAGCTTCCATGTGACCAGTAACTACATTAACGACATTGAAACCAGTCTTAATTGTTGTGATGCTTGTAATAATTTTTCTTCAACACTAAACAATTGTTTTTCTTATTAATAACATTTTTCGATTTTTTTCTTTTATTTGCTCTCTCTTGGCTCTTTTTTACATGTTAAAATATTTAAAAAATGCCAAAAAGGTTAGAACTAACCTCATAAAAATAGCCCCAGTGCCACGACTCATTAAGATCATATTTTGAGATTTTTAATATCCATTTTACTCTGGTAAATTGATATTCTATAAAATAGGATTTTTTCTTTTATATTAAATGATTTTTGGGTGATAAAAATGTATATTAATCTTTATTTTTGAAAAATAGTAGAGATATAAAAAGTTACTTTTGCAGGTACGAATCATATATTGCATTATAATTCTTCAAGCTGTTCGATAGAAATAAAATTATAGCCTGCCGCAAATGCATTATATACACTACAGGCCATAAATGACTGCCCACCCTGCATTTTTACATAAAAAAATTAATAACTTAAAACTTTTTAACTTATTTGGGTAAAAGCGAATTGATTATTTAATTTAAGATGTCTAGACATGTTTAGAAATAAAAAACTCGAAATTTCTCTAAATCTTTCTATGAAATTTTAGCCTTTGAAAATAACATGCCAAAAATGACCAATTTGGTAAAATAGGGTTCATTAGTTTTTTTTCAGCAACAATTTTAAGTTGCCCATTATTTTTTGGAAGAAAGTTATTAATCACATTATAATCTGCTTATTAATACCTATTTTTAATTAAAAAAAAAATTCCTAGATTTTTTTTGTTTTAAATCATTGTTTAAAGAAACTTTCAGTCTTTATAAATATTTTAACGAACATTCGACCAAAATGATTAAAAGAAAAGAAATTTCTATTCCAACTAAACACAAAATAATTCATTTACACAGTGGTAAAAGTAATCGCTGAATTGCCAGAGAATTAACCCTAGCTCAACGAACAGTCGATTGTATACTTAAAAGATTACGCAACAATAATACAATATCGAATCCAAAGAGGCCTGGAAGACCTCGCAGAACGACTTTAAACGATGATAGGTATATAGCAAGGATCAGTAAACGCAATCGAGGCTTGTCGCCTCAGAGATAGCTGCGGAGATTAATCTGACTCGGGAAAATCCGATAAGTGTCACAACTGTGAAAAGGCGCCTTAGGAGCTTTGAACTTTATGGTAGGGTAGCGGTCAAAAAACCACTCTTGAGCAAAAAAAAATAAACTCAAGCGATTAAACTGGGCACGAAAACATCCATTTTGGACATCTGCCAACTGGTACCACGTCTTATGGTGATGAGTCAAAATTAGAAATCTTCGGTTCTAAAAGAAGGCAATATATCCGCCGCTCAGCTGGAGAGCGAATGAGCGATCACTGCATAATTCCTACAGTCAAACTCGGGGGAGGGTCTGTTATGGTGTGGGGGTGCTTTGGTGCCGGGGCAACCACCGACATTGTCAAAATTAAAGGAATCCTTAACAAGGAGGGATACCGGCAAGTCCTTGAGGACCATGTGATTTCATCAGGAAAGTTTTTGATCGGGAATAACTTTTTATTTCACAAGATAATGACCCAAAGCATACATCCAGGCTATACAAAGATTATTTACAAAATCTACAACACGATATTCTCGAGTTGATGACTTGTCCATCCAGTCTCCCGATCTCAATCCAATCGAACTTTTATGGGATCACCTTGATCGACAAGCGCAAAAAAGCCCACTAACCTTTCATTCGCACCTTTGGGAAGTATTGCAGAGAGAATGGAACAATATCACTTCCGAATATTTAAAAAATCTCATCGAAAGATTACCAAAAATTTTTGCAGCAATTATTAAGAATAAAGGTGGTCATATTGATGAGACCAAAATTTGATCTTAATTAATTGCTATGTCTTTTATTTTTTGTAATTTTATGCAATAATATGTAAACTTATAAATAAATTTAAACCTCATACTGTGTGTTATTTGTCTTATTTTAAGAAAAATGTCTAAGAAAATCCAGGGTGGGCAATCATTTATGGCCGGTAGTGATTATATAGTTTTGGTAAAATAAATGAGCCGTTAGAGTTTAATATTCTAGAAAATAAAACCAGGTCTCGTTATAGCCCCGGTTTCCTATACTCAAAAAAAAATGTTTTTAATGGTGTTGGTGTCTCAAGTTCATCTTTTCAATCCCTATTGGGATAAAATTAGAAAAAAGTGGTTCTTGATTTAAGCACATTTTTGATATTGCAGTTCTTAAAGAATTTATAATACATTCAATTCAAGTATCCAACAAAAAAACTTTTATCTGACAATGTCAAAAATTTCTCAATGGAAATGTAAAAAGTCAAAATAAAAAGTGACGTTTAATTCTAAATCAGAAGTATGACTAGAAACGTATTGTCTGTCACCCATATCATTGTTTTTTTTTCAAAAAAAAGGAAAATAATTGTCAAAATCATTTTTCGGGCCGGTCATAATTGTTAAAACTAGGTCTTTTTTAAAATAATATTCCAACACCTCATACGGGCTTATTTTTCAGCCTGAACCGGATTTTTTATTAGTTTTTTATATTATTGACTACTTCATCAAAGTAATTAACACAAGAAAACTTCAATTATCAGACACCCTGTTTTAAAAAATATAACGGGTCGGATTAAGCCAACCCTGATTAGGCTTGCAGCTCTCTGAGTCTGAATAGTATATCGGATTAGGGAGGAGGCGCCCACATGAGTTTTGCTAGGGATTTTAATAATATTCAAAAAATTTAGTGGATTTTTTGGTCAAAATATAATTCTTAAATATTATATAGTAGAAAAAATAGTTGTACTTAGGGTTTAATGATTTAACACTAGCAAAAGAATATAACAATTTATTACTTTGATGGACCTATGATTTTAATATATAATTAACCCAAAATTTATATCTCTTCATAAAATATGTTCTTAAATCAGATAAACAATAATAAATTTGATGAACTGAAAATAGATCAAATTGATAAAAAAAAATTAGATATGAGATGGATGGATTTTTTTTTTACTAATTTATACTTTGCTACCTTGTGACCAAAGAAATTATAATTGGACCCTGAAATATAATATTAACATTAGGTATTTAAAATTTACTAAAAACTAATTAATTTAGTAGTGAGGAGCTACACCCCTTGACTCTTCCTGCGATGCTCAATAGACTGTGGAAATTAAGTTACGATCATTAGATTTGACAACAAAAATTTATACATAAAAAGATTTTATAAATAATCAATATTGTGCATTTTTTTATTATTGACTTTTATATTTGATGTATGTTAGAAAAAAAAACCTAAACAAAGCAACCTGTTAGTTCGAAATATTTGGTCCTATTGAAATGGTACTCAAAATTATACAACTTTTTCTTTTTTTTCAATTTTCTTTTTCCTATTTTTTTTTAAAATATACTAAAACATACCCTTGATAATTACAATCTCGACCCTCAAATGTCACCAAAATAATTGAATTTTCTTATTATTATTTTGCATTCCAAAATGAAATTTTTAATATATTACATAATTCATTATCTTAAATATATACTATTGTATTGATAAAGTTTTATCTGTTTTTATAGTAAACTTTTATAATAATCTATTTTTGTGTTTTTTTTATGATTTAATTAATAATTGTTAGAAGAAGATTCGTTGGTTTGATAGAAATTAAGCAGATGTAAGGTAATAAAAGAAAAAATTAATTTTAAAAAAAAAATGGTTATTGGGATAATTTTATTTTTATTGTTAATAATAAAGAAAGATTTTGAAGAGTAAAGTTGCAAAAAATTACTAATTTGAAAAATAAATCATTGGAATGATGCTTCAAAACTATTATTTTTTAATCTACTTTTTTATTGGAAGAAAGATTGTTGAATTTTCGCCCAATGGGAATTAAGTTAAATTAGCTGATTGGCCAAGTTAACTAATGCCTTACATTATAATAAATACATTTGCATCTCAAATAGAACCAAATATATGGGATGGGTGTTAGTTTAAAGTTTCAAAATAAAATAAAAAAATTTTAAGGGTTTGGTTAGAGTTTCAAACTCCCCGAAATAATCTAAAATCATAGTGCACAATTTAAAAATCTATTCCCTGCAAAATTTTAATTATATAAAGTCGCCAACAAATCCATGCGAGATAATTTAGTTGTTTTTTTTGAATGAATTAAATTATTTTAAAGAATCGTGATCATTGGCTACAACGGTCAAAACTTTTTGATTTAATTATAAAATTTTAAATACATTATTAAATAATTATTTTATCAATTTTTTATATTTTTTTTTAAAAAAAATCAAATAATAGAAGTGAACAACATTCTCAGGGATTAAATGGCAAAAATTTAATTTTATCTCTATATTTCAATAATATAATTTCGCGATCAATAATTAAAAAAAAGAGAGATAAAAAGGAAAAACAATGCTGGAGATAATTATTGATTCCACATATTGGTTTTATTGGTTTTAAAAAATGTTTTCTTTTTTTTATATATAAAAAATCAAAAATTTAATTGAAAATAATGATTAATGAGATGGTCCTCCGATAAATAAAATTAAAAATAATATTTAAATAAAAATTATAAAATTAGTTGACATTAATTATTTTTTTTATTTTTAAATTTGCATAATATTTTATTTAAAAAAATGAATTTAGAAAAATAAACAAAAATTAATAGCTTAATTATAGTTTAAATTATTAGTAAAATTAGTGAAAATAAATTAAATCAAAAAAATTCCCGATTTTATTTATATAAAATGTCGCATTCACATGTCATCTAAACGGAAAAACCCGCCTAACAAGATATCTTTATTAACCGCTCCCTTGATAGTACCCGGTGCCGAAATAAAATGCGGGAATTCGATGAAATTCGATTCAAATTTCGATTTTTCTTACAAGTACGGTTCTTTCCTGCCCCTCTATTCCGACTCTATCATGCAAAAAATTAAGGAGACCTTTGTTGACCACGCAAAATTCCAAATAAATATCCCGGATAATAAGAATAATTTAAGTAATGGAGATGGCATGCGGGAAGATGACACGACTTCTTCTTACAAATCTGAATTTCATTTCAGTGATAGCGATGAAATGAGCGGTGTAGAAAAATTTGCGTCTCCTGCCTCTCTTCTCAATGAATTTAGCTTAAAATCAGCACATTCCATCAGTCAATCAAAACCTCTTGATAAGTATCACGCTAAAAACGGGTACATAAAGATGGACGCCAAAACTATCCACAAAAATAATACGGAGTACGATTTGAATGGCGCGAATGATTCGTGTCATACAAATTTCATATACCCAACTAAACCTTTGAACGAAGATGATAAAATATCGCCGCCACTCAATATAAACGGGTTTACCAATCATCAAAATCGCGATCAAATTTTTAGTCGAATCAATAAAATCCATCAATCCGTTCATCTAAATAACCGATTAATTCCTCCATCTATAGCCAAAAGGAGTCTTACACTCAAAAATATAACGTTAAACCTGGGCCAATCCTTTAATAAGAATACAAATTCCCGGCTAATCAAGACGGACACAGAGATTCGACCCGATGACAGACTAGTGGTAATTAAAGCGATCAAACTGAAACAAATTCTGGGTGATTCTAAGGTAACATTGAAAGAAAAATGGAAAAGGATGGACGATTTGATATACCAGCTACAAGATATTAAAGTCAAACTCGGAGAATTAATGTCAACGAGAAGCCTCAAGAATCGTAGACTAGAACTTGCCCTCAAAAAAGCTCTAATCAATTCTAACATCGACCATTCAAGAAAAAAAGTATTATATATATTATAATATGACTTACTTAAAATTTTAATTTGTGATTGTGATGTTTCATTCCATGTCAATTCAGCGAAACCTTTATCCCTAAACTTTTTATGGAGAAACTATTATCGCGAATTCACATTAGCGAATACCGAAGACAATATAGCTAAACAAATATTCAAAATTGCGAATACAATTTACCGAAAACTTTTTCGCGGAGATATTATAGCGAGGTCAATATCGAGATAATTGCTACTAGTGACTATTTTATTTTGAGACATTTAATTTTATTTTGAGACATTTAATTTTATCATTAAAAATTGAATAATATTTTTTAAAAAAATTTTTTTTATAACCTTAATAAATTTATATTATGATTAATGAACTTAGATTTGGTCTATAAAATTTATTATTGATAATAAATTTACTATCCTGTCCTATGCTTTTCTTCAAAGTCGATCTCAGGCTTTATTAGTATATAAACCATTGAGTTCATTAAGTAAACTTTGATCCTTTGTGGCGAAATTGATATCTGGGCTGTGCCAATATTTATTGTCTGATGAGTACTTAATATTTATAAATTTATCAATCAATTTTGCCAATCACTAACCAAAAACAGTTATAAGCTAAAAAAAATTACTCATATGACTGTCTTTATCTGATTTTGAATGGCGATTCAAAATCAAATTAAAAGGAATTTCTCTAATATCAGAATGTTTTTGAATCTTATGATTTTACGATCCTTATAGATAATTTTTTTATCTTTTCTGTTTATTTAGATATAAAATATTAGTTATATTTTCAAAATTTGATAGAAATCTGAATCTAATATTAAGACGTAGCCTTAAGCACGAAGTTTACCACATTGATACTCACTAATTATGAAACTTAATATACATGTAGGTTAGTGCTTTAACATATATTAATTTTTTTTCCTTCGCAGAACTGCAACTATTTGTAATTTTTACTAAATTCCCAAGAATTGCCAAATAATTTTAATTTTCTCAAAATTGAATTTCTTATAAAATATAATATATCGCTCTGTAATTTTTATTATTTATTTTTATTTTTAAGTGCATAAGCATGTTTTTTTGAGTTTTCAAATTAATCATTACTCTATGTCTTCTAGTAGTTTATATCATGAAGGGGTGGGGGTAAACATTTTTCCAAAAGAATATCAAGACAAAGGTATTAAAGCATCTTCATCACTACTAATCATTAGGAAGATCTTTTTAAATTTTTTTAAAACATATATCATAGCATGGGAAAAGGGAGGGGGGAGTGTTATGACAAGCGTTTTAGATTTGAGGAACTTTTGTGGGTAAATTAATACTAAATATTTTTTTAACTTTTAAATAAATGCATTCGCAATATATTTATTGTTTCGCAGTAATGCGCTCTCGATTATGGTTTCGCGAAATACATTCGCGGTAGAAAATTTGCCATAAAGGGTTCGCTATAAAAGTTTCGCTATAACAGGTTCGCGATAAAGGTTTCTCTAAAATATATTCACTCTAAAGTATTAGCACTTAAGGTTTCTTGGAAATAAATTCGCGATAATGGGTTTGCTATTTTGTCTTCGCGACAAACGACATTCGCTATAAAAGTTTCGTGCTGAATGACCTACTGACCTAATAAGGATGCTGTTGTTGTAGACTCTTATCAATTTTTCTCGTCATTTCATCTGAGAAAAAAAAATACTCTTAGGATTAGGAGCCTGTCATTTGGGTTAACACTTTTATTAATATCTAAAGACAGTAATTTTAATACGGTATTCGGTGAACGGATCATCGTAAATTCGCATCCCTAATATATGCTACGCTTATATAAGAATTCAGAGTTGAAAATATAATAAAGTATTCACCTTTAAAGAATGTTTTATGTCATATCATTCTAGTCTCCACTTCATATATTACAAATTATAATTATCGATCGATTTGCCGCCTATTTTTAAATTTTTATGCCACTCAAAGGCGCAAGGATCCCTGGTCATTTATTATTAATATTAACTTTTTTTAAAAAATGCTAGCTTGATAATTGTTATAAAATAGACAAATTAATATTTATAGTATTCCGATTAGTAGGGCTGGCAACAATACCCATTAATTTTATTAGTTTTAAATGCCAATACAATTCAATATTAAAACAGAATTTTCTATTGGTTTTTAAAAACAATGTCACTCACTGCCAATACCAGCTAATAAATCAAACCAATAGTGATATATATTGGTTAAGCAATACTAATACCAATATTCTTCAAAAATTAATTAATATAAATCTGGCCGGGCTGGGTATGTCTGAAAATTTCTTGGGGCTAGGTTAGGCAAAAAAAATTATATACATTATATTTGAAGAATTCTGATCACAGAAGTATAAAGTATAGTTTTTTAAATTTAACTACTCCTCTCCAATAATAGTTGTTTATTTTGGTGTTCAACAACATATATTTTGGTTTAGGTCTTTGTAAAATAGTTTAAAAAAGTTATAATTTTAAATGTTATTTCAGTAATAAAAATAATTACAGGTCTGATTTTGTGTAATTTTAAATTGAATAGCAATATGATATTGCTGAAATTCTAAAAAATAGGACAATATACGATTTTAGAATAAACCCTGCCGAAAAAGGACCAAAGCCCCCGGGCTTTTATAGTTGAACCCCGCTTAAGAAAAAAAAACGCTTTGTTCAAAATTATATTTTCGATGCTGTTTTTAATAATAGAAGTAATATAATAAATAACATCATTTTATATTAACGAATTATAACATTTTAAGGATATAAATTATAAAAAACTTTAAATATTAGTTTAACCCCATTTTGAAATTTTTTTTAATGGTTATAATATAAGACAAACAAAAATCGATTAAAATTGAAGAGCTTTCAATTATAACTTTCACTTTTTTTACAGAAATTTACTTTACAAAATTATTCACATTTCCTCCTATGACATTATGTTACCTTTCTTCTTCGTTTTATATATCTTTCCTACATATTATTAATTAATTGATATTTGACCCAAATAATGTTTTATTTTATGCAACAAACATGTAAAATATTATTATATAATAAAACCAGAAATATTATATTACACTACACGAGTATATAATAATTTAATTATGATGTGTATAAATGAAATATATAAATTTTAATTTATGAACTTATTTCCGACTATCTGGGATAGGTGGTCAAAATAGTTTTATTTTATTTCACTCTCATAAGATCACACCTGTGGAAAATAATCTCCTCCTATCATTTTTTTTAACATAATTTACTATTTATCTCACCAGATCGATGTTACAGTTAAGGTACAAGAATCATTAGTTAAAGGTTTTGTGATTAGTTTTAAGAATTTTTGAATCAAACTTGAATGAGATTATGTTATTGAGTGGAAAATATAGCTTTCATTATAATTGATAAAGTAGTCCGGTATATTAAAAAAACAAGTTGTTGGTTAAAATCCTAACCTGACTGGTTAGTTTTGATCGGCCGGTTTGTTTACCTCAATAATCGTAATGTTCAAATAGGGCTAAATATACATTTGAAATCACATTTAAGCGTGTGTCCTTATCACAAAGTGTCACACAGATTTATTCATTATCTCTTCTTCGAACAAAATTTTAATTTATCTAACTTCACTTATCGGAATGAACAAATGAATTCGCTTATATTACAATATCCCCCCTATCCTTGGGGTCCTATCTGCGGAAGGTAGAAGGTCTTGTAGAGCGGAGTGCTCCTTGTATCCTTAACTTTTATTTTGGAGTGTTGGAGGCTGTATAGAGAATTATAAAGGCTTGGCTTGAGATTATAAAATTATAATTATTTTGTAGTTTACCATTTTAATTAGCGAATTTAATCGATTATTTAATGTTTTCACAAATCAATAGATTTGAGGTGATTGGGCAATCACATTGTTGAAAATATTTCTTTTATATAAAAAATGACGATCACTATAAAGTTCTGGTTAAACAACAAACCTTTTTACACCGATCACAATCGCATTATCGAATGCGAAAAAGATCGAAATCACCTATATTTTTTTTAAATAAAATGGCAAACAAATTATTATAATGTCGTATAATTTTAGCAAATCTAGGTTTTTAGAAAATTGAAAACATTGATAGCGCGAGTTTTTTAAAAAAATTTCAAGGACTGTTTTTCCCCGGATTCATATTCCTAACAATCAATAAATTACTTATTCTGTGAAATTCAGACAATTTAGCCAGGAACTTTTAAACCTCTCTTAATTTATATTGCTCTTTGTATTTAGATTTTTCATACAAGTAAAAAAATACACAAAAATTCAAGTAAAATTGTCCGAAATTCAGTGTAGACACTATATACACTTAAATACAATTCCGGCTTGACGAGGTTTTTCAAAATTCAAAAAAACCCGGTATAAATTATTTAAACTTTATTATTGGGTTGGTAGTATATGGAACATATTCAGGTTTGAACGAAAATTATCCCAATCGTCTCTCGATCTCTTCTGCAAGTATTTATAAGGTTTTTTTAACAAGGATCAGAAATTATCCAGCCCTCTAAGATTTTTTAAAAAGATAATTTTAAATTTTTTTAGGAGATTTTAAATATTTTACACAAATTATTCTCTCCTAGTGTTAAAACGGCTCGCAAGATTTTCGCCAAAATAGTATTACCTAAGCCTCGATACTTCGTTAATAGATGGCTAAATCTTTCTGCCAGCTATGAGCAAAATCTTTAGGCTTGGATAATATTTTTTTGTTAAAATCTTGAGTTAATTGCATTTACCTCCGACCCAAAATTGTACTGCACAGAATGATTTGTTTTTACCCCAGCGCGATATCAATTATGTTTTTCTATTGCAATGCAACCATTTCCTTCCTTCTAATTCAATTAATTAAAAATTCCTCTCCACTTACTCATCGCATCGGTTATTCTTCTTAAAAAAATAAATATAATCTGTTATTTTTATTTTTTATACAAAGAATGTTATTTTACTAATTTTTAATTTTAATAAAAATTTTTTGTTTTA